CCTTTGGTGTTTTCGTGTTGGTTTTGAAACGCGTCACAAAGGCCTCGGCCAACTGCTGCCACCTTTCAATGCTCCCCTCTGGTAGCCTCTGGAACCATTTCAAACCCAGCTCGCCCAAACTCGATGGGAAGATCAAGCACATAAGAGCATTATTCCGCCTATGTCCGGCCATGACCTGTCGGAAATGACTTACATGCATATACGGGTCGATTTTTCTGTCGTAGAGCATGAACTTTGGCTGGTGGAAGCCTGCCGGAAGCAGTGCTGTCTCTATATCCACGGAGAATGGAGTGGCACTGAGCCTCGCCAAGTCTGTGTCTACAGGGAGAGGCGCGGCTGGGCGGGGTGGAGGTATTCTGACATCCTCGTTGGCGTGAACCCCATAGGATAGCCGCTGGAACCCCGGCACCCTCTGAGCCTCCCGCCGGTGAGCCCGTTCCTTCAAAACTACCTGCAAATCCTCTGATTAAGCAGATTAAGAGTACCTCGACGTCGTCACCGGACGTGAGGGCTGGTAAGTGCTATCTTGTGCGTTGGATTTCTCTACATGCACGTCGGAATCTCCAACCTTGCAACTTCTGGTGATAGAAATAGAAGGAGTGTGTCGCTGACTCTGACTAAACGGCAGAGTTGGGTGCGCTCACTGTGGTCTCCCCCTCCAGCTATACCTTTCCCTTTGACATGCCGCTTCAGCTCCTCCATTTCCACCATCATTCACCGGATGACGGCGTCCTGGTCCCTTAGCTTGTGTTCCAGACGTCTGGCGTGCGATTCTCTCCGCCGCCGATGACCGTCTGGACTCCGTGAATGACCATAACTTCTTCCGCGCTTATCGCGCGCGTCTCCTGAGTGTCCTCCTAGAGAAGTCTCCAGGTCCGCCATCGGAGGAATGATGGAGGGATGTCCTTCTCTCCTTCTGCCCGACTCCGGGGTAACTCCGTCGATAGCGGACGGCGGAATCTCTTCGATGTTCGCCATGGACGGCGATCAGATGAGCCTGGAAGACAAGGTTTTGTCTGCAATGTTCCCACAGACGGCGCCAATTATGCGGGGAGCAAATATTCAGGCAAGCCCGCACTCCTTTCTTCCAAGTTCCTGCATGTCCGATCGACTTGCGAACACAACGACGGTCAGCTACCCCGCGGTGTGTGGCCGGAAAACTCCTCCGACGATCAAGTTAGACACACACAAGGATAGAGAGAGAGAGAGGATTGAGTTGTGTGTAGTGTTTATCTCACCAAAATGTCATATGTCCCAGCATGGGGGGGCGTAGACTTGCTTATATACCTTCTGCGTCCCAAATCTACTCACATCCACCTCTCGACATGCGGTGCTGCTATCCCATCTGTCAGCACAAATCTTGTTGAACACCACCTAACCAAACTGCCAGTCCACTCTACCGGGAGCTCGGCAGCCGGGCTGAATATTCTCGGCTATCAACGGTCGTGCTGTGCAGCTGGCCAGAGCGCTCCGCTCGCCGTGCTTAATGAGGACCGAGCTCGGCTGCATCCCGGCATAGCCGAGCTTAGGACAGTCCACACTGGTTTGCCGTCGGCCTTCTTGCCGGGCTAACTCATAAACCGTGGAACAATGTCGTTCTTGGCGCCGGACATCTCACTTGCCCGGCCTCTATGCCATGAAGCCAAGTAGGTCGGTCCAACCACGCCTTGTTTTAACCGAGCAAATCGTTTCAGGGCACGGGCCGCGCTGCCTCGGCCCAATCTTGTTCGGCCCAAATCTGTCCGGCCATTATCATGGTCCAATCTAGATCATAAATCTCCCTCTCACTTTTTTATTGGCAAATAATAATTCCTTTTGAAGATCTACTCTTAATATAGGTGAATTAACAACAAAAGAAAATTGAAAACAAATGGCAATCTATTTAAAATGAGAAAAATATCAAAAAGTGTAAATCTAAGTAATTTTTATATATTTTAAATATTTTTATACACGTTACCACGTTCATAGAATTTGGGCCATCATTTGCTTATGGAATGCTTGGCAAATGATGCCTCATCTTCAAATCATCTATTTATTTATTTATTTCAATGATAACAAATCATGTAAAAATCTTAACGAAAAATGTGGCACATTCTTATTGGATCATGTAAGAATTTTAAGATATAAAATCTCAAAACTTAATTGAACAATTACATATTTATTAAAGAATAATGTTTGAGAACTCTAATTTGAGAGCTCTAATGATGTAGAGAGTACTCATGTGAAGGTGGGGCCTATATTCCCCTCTCTCTCTCTCTCTCTCTCTCTCACTAATAACTCCATTTAGAGCTTTAGTATTAGAATTGTGTATCATTACTGATTTATTAAAACAAAAAAAAAAGAAAGAAAGAAGAAATTAGTAACATATAATTTCGTACAATAATACCTATTCCTAAGAATTAGGGGTGATTGTCATTGATAAGTCTAAACTAGGGATGACCACGTGACGGGTTTGCAGCGGATTTGTCATCCCCCGCCCTCGCTTTCAAACCCTACTCCTGCCTCCTGCCCCAATCCCACTATGGGTGGAGTTTTCCAACCCTATTTCCGCCCCTGCAGATACCTGCAAATATCCGATCACATTTTAAATAGTTAAAAAAATTGAGAACAATTTAAATCCTTAACACACTAAATAATTTCTCTTATTTTCATATATATAAACAGTAAGATTTTTAGGATTATTATTTATTTATATTAGAATCACAGACTTTTAGTATTCATTTCTTATATCAAATTATATAATATATATACATATATATTATTAATTATATTGGGTTGGATTTGGATCCCAACTCCACCCTCACCCTCGTTGCGGGTGACCAAAATATAATCCACCCCGCCCCACATAAGTGTCGAGTTGGGTACAATCTGTCTTATTTGCACAAGTATAAACAACTTCCCGCGGATCAAATTAAAATGACCATCTCTAAACTAAACTATGTAGGTTCCGCTCCAAAATCTAGTTTGAATGAGGTATTAGAGGCAATATACGAGTTTTAATATTGCTACAATCACCAAAATATTCCATCACTAAATTTACTTGACTCCTCATATTTATTTAAATTTATTAACAAATATAGATTATACCAACATTTATAAAAAGTGGTTTTTTTTTAGGGTCCCTGGTATTAAGACTTTATAGTATTAAAGACATCTAATATTTCCATAATGTCTAAGGTTCCTCAATTTGATCCAGAGAAATTCTGGTCCAAAGAAATTCTGTTCAGAGAAATTCTCTCAAACCCAGAGAAATTCTCTGTTTCTCTCCAGAGAAATTTCGTGGCCGAATATTTCAAGGTTCCTCTCAAAGTAAACTCTCCAGATCGATAGGAATATGAAGAAGCACACACCCTTTAGCAAAGAAGATCTGAAACGCTATGTCCTTAACATATGTCATCATGAACAGAGAAAATTCAAACTCTATGTCCTTACCAGAGAAATTCAAATCCTTTACTAGAGAAAATTCAAAATCCTTTACCAGAGAAAATTCAAACCAGAGAAAATTCGAGGGTAATCCAGAGAAAATTCGAGGGTAATCCAGAGAAAATTCAAAGGTAATCCAGAGAAAATTGCCAAATCCAAAGAAAATTCAAAAGTAATCTAGAGAAAAATTAAGAGTAATCCAGAGAAAATTAAGAGTAATCCAATTGAGCACCAACTCACTGAGTCAACTCAAATCTAATATAGAAAAAACATCATCTACGAATCAATCACCACTATGGTAAGGACAGAGAGAAAACTCAATCAGCATTGAGAACATTTAGAGAGAGAGAGAGCATGTGATTCAAGAGCAGAGACAGATGAGTAAGAGAGAAGCATGGTGTAAAAAAAAAAAGGGAATTGAATTGGAAAAGATCAAAAAGACAAATCGGAATTGGATCGAAAATGACCGATCGAAACTCCGAATCTACAAATAAATCATGAAATGAAAGTAGAAAACAACAGTTTCTTACTATGTATTCAATGGCCAGCATTCAAGAGAGAGAGAGACTTTGGCAAAGAAGATGAGCGAGAAAGAGTCTCCAAACAGTGCCGACTGTTTCAGAGAGAGATAGATATATATAGTTTAGAGAGAGAAAGTAGAGAGAGAGTGTGCGTTTGTGTGAGAAGATGACTTCATACAGTGTCGATTTTTCAAGTTAGAATAGAATTGGATATCAAATTTTTCTGTAGGGACCTTAGACATCATAAAATAATATTATGGATCTCTTCCATTACTAAAAATATGAGAGGGACCTTAAACTAATTTTCCCTTATAAAAATAAGTCAGTGTGTTTGGTTTGAGTTTTCTGAATTAAATTTTTTGAAAATTAAATTTTTTTGTTTTCGTATTTTTTTGTTTTTAGTCAATATTTTTAAAATCTTAAACATTTTTTTTACTTTTTTAGATGCACCTCACTTAGATATATCTAAATAGTAAAAAATTTGTGAAAAAATATTTTTAAAAAATTAATAAATACATAGAAATATAAAAGATGTACTAAATTCTTGTATTTTTTTTTATATTTTTGGTATTTAGCGAATTTTTAAAAGATTTTTTTTATATTTTTTACTTTTTAGGTGAATTTATGTTAGGTGTGTCTAAAAAGTAAAAAAATTGTTTAAAATATTTTAAAAAATCAATAAAAACAAAAAAACACCAAAAATAAGAAAATAAAATTTTCTGAAAAGTATTTTTAAAAAAATGGAACCAAGCAAGTTGAATATTTTTTGAGTAATGCTATGAGAACAAAAAAATTCATACATTGATGTGGTTAATTGTGGATATTTTATTTCAAAACAAACTACTATTGAAAATAAATTTATTTATAATAATAATATTGTCACATTATTATTGTCAAATATTTTTATATAAAAATATAATTATTTATTTATTTATTTTTATTTTTGATGATTTCAAGTTTAGACCACCATAACATAAGTACCCTTACATTACATAGGGTAAGTCACCTTACATGGGGCACATTTGTTTGGCTTATGTGTCCCTCCACATCTCTTCTCTTTTCTTCTCTTTCTCTGTTCTTCCTCTCCACACGCGTCTTTCACTTCACCCACCCCTCTCTCTCTCTCTCTCTCTCTCTCTCTCTCTAAATTTGGCGTTTCTTCTTTCACATCTCCCACCTGGTATTACAATTTTCTCATCTATCTATAGTTCAATTATATATATATACACATATACATAATATCTGAAATCAAGTTTAAAACTTTTGTTCCCCATTAGATTCTCTATCATCTATTTTCTGATTTTCTATTTCCCACTCCAATTATGCTTCAATGTTGTTCTTTTACTTCTATTAGGTCTCTATCTCTCACACAAAGGGTTTTCATTGATTTAAATCTCTCTCTTTGAGCAAATTACAGGTTTGTTCTCTCCTCTTCAATTCTTCTATTTTCTTGAATTGCACTCTTCTTAACTTTATATAATCTTTCTATATGAATTGATCCATATGTATATGTCAAGGTTTGTGATTTTCTTGATTCTGTCTTGAACCTAGCTTTTTGTTTCCTTTTTGATTCTTTCTGAGAAATTCCCAAAATTTTTGGTGCTTTGTTTTAGTTTGCAATCCGATATTTAGGGTTTCTCTTGTGTAATTTCATTCTTTTGGGTCATAGAGTTTGTGTTTCTTGCTTCTGGTTAGGTGGGTGGAGAGTCAATGGCATTGAATCTTTCACATAACTCTGTCTTTCCTTCCAATGGATTGGAAGGGAATTTGTTTTCGTCGATTAAATTTGGTAATAATGGGTACCTAATGGAGGGATGCACAGATAAGAATTGGGCTGGTTTTGGTGATTACATGAATTTCAATTGGAAATTAGAGGATGAGAAAGATATTCTTGATCTGTTGCCTTCTGATCCCTTTGGTATGGATTTAAGTACTACGTTTACAGCCATTACGGGTTGGCTTGAGGATATTGAGAATGATTTGGGGTTAAATTCTATTGGGTTTGGTACTGATCGATTTGAGGTGGAGAGAGGGGAGGAGGATCGGTTATTGGCAGGACTGAATTTGGTTTGGGATGATGCATTGAAACTTCATTCCGATGTCAATGATTTGAAGATTCAAGAAGCATCGATTGGGTCTGGTAAGGAATTATGGTCTGGACTATGTGATGGTGATGACAACATGGATGAGTTAATGGGTTTCAGCTATGAGAAAAATTGGGCCTTAGGTGTTGCTGCTAATGAATTTCAAGGGTGCTCTGAAATCCATTCTGATGGTGATAGAGGTGCTCCCCATGATGCTTTGTTTTTCTCTCTTGGTTATCTGGGTGTGAGGGACCTTCTTTCTGTTGAAAGGGTTTGCAAATCTTTGCGTGATGCAGTTCAAAATGATCCTCTTATATGGAGGAGTGTTCATATAGATCAGCCATTAAGTGATAGGATCACTGATGATGCTCTGTTACGGCTAACTAGCAGGGCTCAAGGCACTCTTCAATGCTTGAGTCTAGTGGGGTGCTTAAAGATCACAGACAGTGGATTGATGCATGTGCTTGAAAACAATACAGGGCTGACAAAGGTTTGTTTGTTTGTTTGTTTGTTTGTTTTTTTTTTAAGCGAATTAACTTTGTTTATGCCGTGATTCTATATTTTTATTGTTTTGGTGTGTGAATGTTGTCCATTGTTTCAAACATGTGAGCAATGTAGTTATGGTGTTATTCTATATTGCAAATACTAACTTGTGTATAAAAAGCTTTATTAAACATGATGGCATGCTCCAATTACAATGAGCTTTTGATGCAATCTGTCAATGAATATCCGTTGTCCACATTCTAAATTTATTGTCACTGTTGATATAACAGAAATTTGATGGTCAAATTTCCAATCAAAGTAGTCTCTCATAAGTCATAACCATGCGATTGCTGTTATTTCTTTTCCTACCGTGTATCTTTAGAGTAGTCATCCAATTGATGGCTACTTTCCTTTGTTGTTCATTTTAATTTCTTTAAGTTTGTATTAATTTCTAAAGTGGTTACTATATATTTAGGATAAATTACAAATACACCTTTGAGATTTGCTTAAAATACGAATTGCTCCCTTGTGGTTTGGAAAATTACAAATACCTCATTGTCAGAATTTTTTATTTAACAAAATTAATTGAAAAAGTGAAATTTCTATACAATAATAAAATCATCTGAATTATTAATTGAAACAAAATTTTAATATTATTAAAAATTGTTAATTAACTTGATGATTTATTAATAAAAGTACTTATTTGTTATGAAATTAGAAACCTTATGGGACATAATGTAATTTCTAGAATCACCGGGGGTAATTTGTAATTTAAGTAAATCTTAGGGGGTGTGTTTGTAATTTACCCATATATTTATTATGTTTCTAAGTGGCCTTCTAAATCTGCTCTTGTTCCATGCAGCTAAGCGTGCCGGGATGTGTGAGGCTCAGTGTTGAAGGTATCTTGTGTAACTTAAAGGCCTTCAAGTCAGTAAGAAAACTTGGGAATACAGCAGCTAAGGATTGGTGGTCTCTATGGTATATCAAACAAGCAGTTTGAAGAACTGAAGTTTTTACTTGGCACAGATAACCATAAGCAGCTCAGTTCCCGCAAACCACGGTTCTATGGTGGCGGGCAATTGTATTTCTCTTGTAACGATGATTGCGCTATTGACATTGAGGCATGCCCGAGATGCCAGAAATTCAGACAAGTCTATGATTGCCCAGCAGAAAGCTGCCAAGGAAAACATCAATCGACTCAGTTGTGTAGGGCTTGCACACTCTGCATTGCTCGCTGTATACATTGTGGTCGCTGCATTAATGGTTGTGATTATGAAGAGACATTCTGCCTAGATTTGCTTTGTTTGGATTGTTGGAAGCAATTTCTGAACTGTCGGCAGGAAGGAGAAATGGACGGTCACTCCTCTAAGTGCACTATTTTCCATCAGCAGGCAAGGTACCATTTTTGCCTTTATGGCTAGAAGAACTAAAAGTTGCATATATTCCTTTTGGCTATGGTTTCTGGACTACGAACTGCATGACTGGCAGTCCGGGTATTTGATGCAAAAAGTGGAAGCCATTGAAGCAGTAGTTGAATGCTCATGGAGGTAGAAAAAAGACCACCAGCAGAAAAAGACAAAAAAAACAAATCAAATATTTAGTCAAAAAAATACACATGATCCACAGAAAAACTGAGAGAAGTTGGAAACAAAAAACTGGGATGTACATATCGATGATATATGTCTGCCAGGGAAATGGCTGTTTGATTCGACACTGTTCCAGACTAAGTGTTATCTTTTGGTGCAGTTGTAAATGTCAGTGGGGTTAGCATTTTAATTAAAAAACCAGAGGACGATGAAGTTGATAGAATGATTGGTTTGTGGAAGTGAAGTGGCTTATGTGTTGTCGGGTGATCCTATGGAAACAACGGGCTGCTGATGAAGTGGGTTGTCGTTTATTTGTGGCAGATGAAGATGCAGCGCCACATTGTCAAGCTGGAAGTTCTCGCAGAGTGGGAGAGAATATTAAAGGCAAGTTCCTTCTTCATCGACTTTGCAGTGGGGATGAGGTTATGGCTGCTGTTTTTGTTGCAAAGTCTAGATAAGTTATGCTTTAAGTCAGTAATACTGAAAGTTTGTCAATTTGTAAGGTAAAGTTATTATACTCAATTGGGTCAAATTCACTTACAATCTGTACATGGTGAATGATAATATCCGTACTTTTATGTACATTTGTTGCTCTTCTATCTCATATTTCGTTCAGTGGCATGTTCTTTTCACCACTTCTTCTTGTCCGTTGTTGTAGTTTTGGGGCTTAGTTCAATGAATATATATTGTGTGGTTAAATTTAGAAGTGGGTGTTGTTTCTATTGCTGGTTAAATTTAGCCTTTATCTCCATTGAAATCCAAAACAAACGGGCCTTTATCTCCATTGAAATCAAAGCTAAACTAGGATAAACTAGGATTAAAGAGAGTAATTGGTTTCTAACTTTTTTTTGCGTGTCCCTTTTCCTCTGTGGCAGCTTGAACTGTTAAATATCCAAATTGGGGGCTTTGAATTGTTGGAGAGAATCATTGTGTGATTTTTTGTTGGTGCCACCAGAAAGCAAGGTCTAGAAAGGATGCGTGACTTGGGAGAATGAAAGTCAATTATCCCTACTTTCTTGGGATGTTTTTGGTTGCTGGACGCTTTCATAAACTGTTTTTAAGAAAGTAATAGTATACTCATAGATTGCACCTCAAATCTCTGCAACAAAGAAGACCTGGTTAAATATTAAGAAATGGGTTGTTTTATTTGCTTTTGAACTGTTTTGGTCTTTTAATTCATGAATTGTTTGTGTTGCGTGCTAGCTTTTCATACCAAGCTGTGGTGATTGTTTTTGCCACGCATACCTACTGATGCCAATAACAAGGAGGAGTTTGGGAAGTTCAAAAAATAGCTAAAAAGTAATCAAACAAAAAAGGTCGAAAATTTATTTTTCCTTCTTATTTTTTACACCTTTTTTTTTGGGTAAAAAATTAAAAAAAATATTTCAAACATACTAATTTTTTTTATATCATTTTTTAATAAAAGAGTTAGTATTATTTTCAAAACAAGCCTAAGACCTATAAGAATACAAGTTGCAAGCCTCAAGTTAAGCGTATGATAGGTTGCTTGTTGTAGATTAAGTGAGTTGTTTATAGTTTATTTGTAATTTAGAAATTTGTGCAAAACTGTTTAATATGACTTTTGCTTATAGTTTATTAAGTAGAAATAACTTAAGTAAACTGAAAGAAATTAATTATTTAAAAGTTGAGAAAATAGTGTTTCTAGCATTTTTTATTTATTTCTTAATTTTCAACTTATAATAAGTTGTACCAATATCTTGCATGAAGTTGGTCCGATAGCTATCTTATGTGCCATACCCTTTCCAATTATACAGGGTCATGTAATTATCCTTTTTCATTTTTTTTCTACTATATTTAAGACAAAATAATAGTGTCCCCTTCTTTGCTATGAGGTGATTACACAATTATGTGATACTCTATTAATATTGGATACCGGTGAAGATAATCGGCTGATTTGTAATTAGTTTTTATTTTTATTTTTATATGATATTTATCCAATTATTATTATTATTTTATTACAAAAATCATTAAATAGTTTTTTTTTTTTAAAATTGAAATATTTTAGAAACATTCAAATTTTGTAAAATAATTTTTAGAAAAATTTGCAAAAGAGAATTCAAGTTTTGACTATTTAAAAATAAATAAACCAGTCAATTAAAAACATTGAAAATTATGGTGACAATTCGATGGTTGTAATACACATAAACACACTAAAAATGGGAAAAAAATACATAGAAAAAAACCACAAACCAACAATAAAAGGTGTATTCCAAAGAAGAGGAGGAGGAAATGACAGGAAGTGGAGTGGATTAGTAGAAAAAAAAAAAGAAATATATTTTTATCTAACGGTCAAAGAATTGCTTAAAATTAGAGTACACTAGTTAAAAATCGCAGGGGAAAAAAGAGGAGCAGTGGGAGGTTACTCAATTAAAGGGATTAATTTCTATCCATAATAGAAAATGATATACATTTGAGGGGGGAATTACAATTCAATATATTTATAAAAAAAAAAATACAAATACATTGAAAATCTTATGATTTTAATTACGATATTATTCATAAAATTTATCACTAATTTGTAATTATTTTTTTAAAACTACAATGATCCCTAATTTCTCCTAAACTTAATCCATCCACAATAGTAAAAAAATTTAATTAAAACATAAGACTCAAAACATTTGCTTTCGTTCTAAGTCCGAAATTGTGAGTTTGGTGAGATTCGAACCTAGCACGTTACATACTGCGTTACTACTATGATGGTAACAAACATTGACGACGTCGTTTCAGAACATTCTAAAAATACTTCTTTTTCTACTATTTCCCTTGCGGAACTCAGCGAGAGAGAGAGAGAGAGAGAGAGAGGAGAGGAGAGCAGAGCATCAGAGCTCAAGAAATGGAGAACGGAGGTGAAGGAGGAGGAAAAGACTACGGTGAAATCCCTGAAAACGCTAATGAACGTATTTCCTGCTGCCTGCTGCTTCTCTTCTTTTCTTTCTTCTTCTTCTTCTTCTGCTTTTTAATTTTTAAATTTGAATTTTTGGGTAATTTTTACGGACTTATAATATTGGGGGGGTGTTTGTGAATTACAGATTGCCCAGGTCCTGAATCGAAGTCTGCTGGGAAATCTGATTCCTGTCAAGGTTGCCCTAATCAGGAAGTTTGTGCTACTGCTCCTAAGGGTCCTGACCCAGGTCCTCTCTCTTTCTCTCTCTCTATACACACACACGCGCGCTAGAAGCGGTATGCGTGCACATATAATCATTTTGTTTCAAAAATAAGATTGTAAACTGTTCGATTGAATTCAAAATCTGAAAATTGAAAAGAATTTGAAAAAATCAAAAGTTGAGAATTTTGAAAAAAAGAAAAAGGATTTAGGGCGTAACTACCCATATAACATATTGGGTATTTTGGAAAAACGAAAATATGAGACATAAACACCAAGAGAAAGACTTCTCTTTATAATAATAAGAATAATAGTAGTATACATATAAGATAGATAGTTTGTTTTTGAATGTTTTTCGAGGTCTGTCTCTGTAGAATGCATTGGCCTTGAGTAGAACTATATGACTGAATTTGGAAATTTGATCAAACATTTGGTTCTCCCTTGATTCAATACAACTTTGATGAAAGAATTGGAGCTTATTTTTAGCCCCCTTTTCATCAAATTTGAATTTTATGAAGGTTAGAAGATGTTCTTATGATCAGATATCCATCCTGTTTTGCAATTAAATATTCTAGTTGTCGGGCACATGTGATGTATGTGCAATGTGCAACTCGAGTTAGTTAGGTAAGAAAGTCATAATCCTAGAAACAAAAGCAGTATGGAAATTCATTTAAGATATTAGAAACCCCTTATTGACTGAGTAACTGTACTTAATTGTATTTTCATTGCAATTTAGTCATACCTAATACTTTTGGTACTAGTGGCTAATGAGATATTGAATTCCACGATCAAAGATGAGTCTCTTGGTAATCATTTGTAGGCTAAGGTGTATGACCATGTGTGGTGAGGAAAGTGGATTAATGGTGCATATCTTCTATCAAAATTTATATTTTGCTTACTCATCCCAGAGGATTGAAACAAAGTGATCTTTTTGTCCCCCTTTCTCTTTAGGTCATGGAAGATTTTTTTCATGTTGGTTTATTGAATTTTAACAATTTACAATTGATGGTTTGCATTAGTCTAGTACTTGATCCTTTAGGGTGATTGTGAAGTTACCCTGAATTTTTCCTTGAAGTAGATGAAGGAATTGAATAGTACCTTTGTATTTTTCGTTATTTTGCTATTTCGTAACCCTTGCTAATTTGCTATCATATTTGTGCAGCTTCTACATGGGATGGAAAACTTTGCTTCTTTTCTTTATATTTTCCCCTTGTAGTTTGTTGTTGTGTCAGTTTGTATAGCCTTTTTGGTGTGATGTGCAATATGTTCATTGCATAGCTATGTGATGAGATTAGTCCCCGTATGAGTACCTAGTGTTTGTAGGATTGGGGGACAGAACATGCCTTGAAATTACCTGGGTGCTCTAAGAGGTCTGGACACCTTAAATACTAACCCCACTTATTCCCCCCCCCCAAAAAAAAAACTTGGTGGTAAAAGCGTTTAGCTCTTAATCTCAAGCAATAATGTTGTTTAGCTCTTAATCTCATATTTTTTAGTTCCTCTTGTGGATTCTTTTGAATGCATTTTAAAAGTAAACTCTACCTCTCTCTCTCTCAAAATATAAAAACTTCATTGCAAGGATATGACTACCCATTTGATGTGACTTAGGCTTTGTTTGTCATAACCTAAAAAAGTCAAAAAGTCACTATCCTATTTAAGTCACATCACCTCTCTACCACATCACTTCAAACGAAATCTATACCCAACCCATATTTCATAAAAAGTCAAAAAGTGCATTTATTTAAATCATCCCGAACCACCCCTTAAGGCTTGGCTTGGCTTGGTTTGGTTTGGTTTGCAAGGATACGACCACAAGCCGTGTCCAAATCTTGCATGAGATATTCCCCAAAGGCTCATTCTTTTCCCCTTTTCGAAAGAGTTGATATCTTTATTTTCCTTCATTTAACTGGTAAATTTGTTGGGTTGTCCTGGAATTTGGACTCCTTATTCGTCTCTTGTGTATAAATCCTGTTACTTGATTCACATAATTGTTTACATAAAAGTTTCTTAAAAAGAATCTTGGGTGCAAAGACACATAATTCTGAAAATGTTGCATAGTGTGTCTGGTGTTCTTCACAGGAATTGACTCTTGCCTCCTGCTTGTATGAAAGACTTTTCAGTTTTTTGTCGTAATTGAAGGTCATTAATATTGCACTGTCGTAGCTAAGTGGAATATGAGGAATGGAGTATTTTTTAAATCTCGATACTTTAGTAGAATTGGTACAGATCTTGGAAATGCTCAATCCCAGATATTGGTTTAACACTAAGAATAGTTGAGATAATAGTTGTGATTGGGGCAAACTTTTATTTATGTGTACTTTGAAGCAATCTTGTAGACATTATTTGTGTCTGGGGCAAAAAATTCTTCTGTTATCTTAATGTTGTGTATTGTGCATTTTTGCAGATTTGGTTGCAATTGCAGAACGAATGGCTACTGTGAAACATAAAATATTTGTTTTGTCCGGGAAGGGAGGAGTTGGCAAGAGCACATTCTCTGCTCAACTCGCATTTGCCTTAGCTGCTAAGGATTTTCAGGTTGGTCTCCTCGATATTGATATTTGTGGCCCAAGCATCCCAAAGATGCTTGGTCTAGAAGGCCAAGAAATCCACCAGAGCAACCTCGGATGGTCTCCCGTCTATGTTGAGTCCAACCTTGGTGTCATGTCGATTGGCTTCATGCTGCCGAACCCAGACGAAGCTGTTATATGGAGAGGCCCACGCAAGAATGGGATCATCAAGCAATTCCTAAAGGACGTTTATTGGGGAGAGCTTGATTTTCTAGTAGTTGATGCCCCGCCTGGGACATCAGACGAGCACATCTCAATTGTCCAATTTCTCCAAGCAACTGGGATAGATGGTGCGATCATAGTCACCACCCCACAACAGGTTTCTTTAATTGATGTAAGGAAAGAAGTGAGTTTCTGTAAGAAAGTTGGGCTACAAGTTCTTGGCATCGTCGAGAACATGAGTGGCTTGTCCCAACAAGTGTCTGATTTCAAATTCATGAGGGTGACAGAGACAGGTGAACAACGAGATGTCACAGAATGGGTTATGGAGTATATGCGAGAGAAGGCGCCAGAAATGCTGGATTTGGTTGCGTTTAGTGAAGTGTTTGATAGTAGTGGTGGTGGTGCAGCAAAAATGTGCAGTGATATGGGTGTTCCGTTCCTTGGGAAGGTGCCTTTGGATCCTCGGCTTTGCAAAGCAGCTGAAGAAGGTCGATCGTGCTTTGATGATAATAAGTGTGGGTCAAGCGCCCCTGCGCTTAAGAGGATTATAGATAAACTGGTGGCTCGTGAAATGGAAAATGGCACCTAGGCGTTTCTGGTGATTGTTTTTTCTGTGTAATTTTTGAGTTTTGGAAGAACATCTGTTTGTCAGGTGTGAATTAGCTTTTGTTAATACGGATGAAAAAAAAGTCGTTGTTTGGAGCTCAAGTATATTTAACTTTTTGGTTGTTCAACTATTTGTTATACAGATTAAAGTAAAACAATATAGTTGTTTGGAATGAGACTATTTAAAGTTTGGGTAAATTACACTCACCTCCCTTGAGGTTATTGACAAATACAGGAACTTCTCTTGTGATTTGAATAATTACACATACCTCCCTTACTTTAACTGACATTGTCAAGGTTTTTCTATTTTTAACAGAACCTGCTAATGTCATCCAAGATAAATCCAAAAATACCAATAATGCCTTTAGGGTTATTGAACTCAGCCATATATACCGAGCACAATACACAGCTCCACAATGCACACAACTCAAAAAGTCCAGGCCAAGAGAAAAACCAAAAAAGTAGCCAGAAGTGAAAGGAAAAAGGCATAAGACAGAGCTCCACAACCAATATCAACACAGATATGCTACCATTCAAGTATTTTTTTAAAAAAATTGACATTAAGCACAACCAACTATTCCCATTAAAAAAATGAAATCAAAACCAAATCCAACACAAATAAAGCACAACCACAGTCCTGAATTGCTTACAAGCACAGTCCAAAATAAAGCACAACCATAGTCCAACCAGTCCACAAATAAAGCACAACAACCGTCTAAAATTGGTTACAAATAATGTAATATATGTTCTAAAAATGCCTTATAACTCTCACATTTCATGAAATGTAGGATCATATGGATATGTCATCATCAAGTAATGAAGGAGGGGTGATGAAGTATAAGAGCAAGATTTGCTATTGTGGGAGCAAAGCAGCAATTAAAGTCACTAAATCAGAGAAAAACATTGAAAAATTGTATTATTTATGCCCACTTAGGAAATGCTCTTTTGGGGATTGGTGCAAACCAGTAAACTTATCTATTGGAGGAGAAATGATAATGGAAGACAGTCAAGCTACTATTAGCAGACACACTTTACCCTATGAAGAAGATATACAAAATAACCCATGTAAGGTAATGGAAAGACTAAACAAGTGAGAATAACTTACATGTGCATGCTTGTCCTTGGGCTTACCCCTATCTCTCTCAGTTGAACTTGCTTTCCCATTTGTTGAAGTGTTTGCTTTAGTTGAATGTCCCCTCCCAGTTGAAGTGCCCCTCCCAATTGAATTGCCTCTTCCAGTGAAAGTACCCCTTGCAGTTGAGGTGCCTCTCATAGAATCTCTACCCCTCTTCATAGGTGTGCCACTGTCCTTACCAACACTTATGCCACTGCCTCTACAACTACTTGTGCTACTGTCACTAGCTCTGTCCCTTACTAGACCTTTTTGGCAGGTTCTCTTATCATAATTGCATAAAATAAAAAATCATAACAAAAAGAAGACAAACAAAATGCCCAACATTTAAAAAAAAAAAAATTGCACTTGGCTAGTTGATCGGCTGGATGTCCCCACGGATGATCGGTCACCCAACATCTCCCAGCCCGGATTGCTCAGCCGTTTGTCAAGGCGTACAAATCCGAAAAGGACTACAAATCCAGAGTTCCAAAACCAAAACAATAAGAAGATTGGTGAGAAAAGAGGTCAACTAAGGAAAATTTTTCACTTATTTTGTGATGAAAACATACTAAATAATGTATCAATAACTCAGATTTTTATAGTGGTGGCATGTCTCTGAAAAAATGTGAGCTATGGGCAGAAAAACGTAGTTTTGCGTCTATTAAGAGGAAATATGAATAGAAGAATGATTGAAACCCAATTCATCCACTTTGAACACAAAACACCGTTACAACACATCTGAAAATATTATATAAAACATCTAATAACAAGTATTTGGACAAGGAAAATAAAAGAGAGAGTTGTGTTGTGGCTTACTTGATTGTCTAGTGAAGTGTTTGCACAATTTCTTCTCTTTTTCCTTTCCTCTACCACCAAAGCTCTCTTCCTTTCTTTTTCTTTCCCACAGCTAAAATGCGTAGTGTGTGAGTGTGTTTGATGTGCAAAAATGCTAGGGGAGAGATCCTATTTATAGAAAAAAAAATTGTGGTGGGAAGTCTAAAATGCCCTTGGTTAGAATTGGATGGAAGAATTTGTAATTGGTTGGAATGGAATGAAATGGAGGTTGATTAAGAAGATTAATTATAACTTGGAACATGATTTAGTCCTAGTTTGGTCAAGGTAGAACTAGATTGAAAGTTAGTACAAGCATATCTCCATGATTTGGGAATTTAGTCAAAATTTTTCATGAAATCAAGGATTCTTGTCCCAAAAAGTACACAACAAGGGTTCCTTTAGGCTGGCCAAGTGGGTTGATTTGAGGGTATTAACTTATTTCTTTCTTATGTACAAATGTTGGAAATTGCAAAATATGGTGTATAAAATAAGTGTAATGGAACAAGTGTATACATATATACAATGGTTACTAGTTTGGGGTCAACATGTGATTCAAGAAGAGTATGAGGGCCAAAATCTTAATTTATCAATTTGAACATTTAATTAAGTGTAGTATTTAATTTATTTGAGGTTTGGAAATTTAATTCAGTTAAAGTTTCTCCGTTTTGAATTAAACGGCGAATTGTACTGAGAACCGGAAACGTAGGGTTTCTTGTATGGAAAATATACTTAGAAAATTAATTTAATTATTATTAGGGTTTTAGAAATGGTTCCTGGGTTTCGGGTTTAATCAGGGTTTTTGAGTTTTCGGTTGGCGAGCATGCTCGTTTCTATAACTAGAATTGAAGACAAATAAGGATTGGAGGGTCTTTATTGAAATAATTCAAAATTCAAGGACTTAATAGGTTTCACAAAGGTTATGGACCTCACACACACTCACTCTCTCTCTCTCTCTCTCTCTCTCTCTTTTCCTACAAATTCGATTGAAATCAGAATAGGTAGTAAATTAAGGATTTAGGATATAAAGGGTATTATTGTCTTTTCGTACTCTAAAGTAAGGGTAATAAGGTCATTTAGTATAAGTATGTAACATCGTTTGTGCCAATTTGATGGAATGTGGGAATCTTAACAATGTCAGTTAAAGTAGGAGAGGTTTGTATAATTATTCAAACCATAGATGAAATACCTTTATTTGTTAGAAACCTCATTGGAGGTGAGTGTGATTTACCCTTAATTTTTTTTTTGTATGCAAATGATGAATGTCATGGAGAAGCATTGGTTTGAATATTGTTTTTATTTTTTATTTGACTAGTTAAAATTTGAATAAAAGTTAAAAAGAAGATGGGCACTCAAGTAGAGGCCTATTTCTAAAACCATTGTGCCTTGTTTAATTTTTTTTTTTTTTTTTGGACTAAAAAGATATTATTTGTCTGAAAGAACATGTTATTTGTTCAAAAATTTTGTTGTCTCTATATCTATTTAAATGTCACTTATATGTTCAAATATACCTATATATACAAGTATTACTTATCTGTCTAATTATTTATTCAAATGTGTACATGTGTCACTTATCTGAGAAAATTACGTGTTCAAATGTCTAATTATCTATTCAAATGTTCACTATGGCCATGTTTGTTTGGGTGGACATGAGCTTGGGATTGGACTAATAGTCCAATAAAATTATTAATCCGATATTTGGTTAAACAATTGAAGTACGGATTAATTATTTTAAACTTGACTATTAGTTAAGATAGGATACATAATTCAACGGATTCGTAGTCCTAGGACTATTAGTCATGGAAATGCTAATCCAGTCTGCTCAAACAAACATGGCCTATATGTATACGTGTCACTTTTTGTTTTGCTTATCTGTTTAATATCACCATATCTTTAATTCATTGCCACTAGCTGCTGCTGTTGACCGTTAATGACTTTTGAATGCGTGTTCTTTCTCATTAATTCTTGAAACCAATGTCTAATGCATTCCTCAATTTAGGTTTATTGACAATTTTTTACATTGTAATTTATTTATTTGAATTATTTAAAAATGTGAATAATTTTTTATTTAAAATTTTAAAGTTGAGTAACATGAAGATTACATTATTAAAATCAAGGTAAATTACATTTATTTTTCCTGAGATTTCTGACAAATACAGAGACATCACATGTGGTTTGAATAATTACAGTAATCTCTCCTACCTTACCTGACAATGTCAAGATTCCCCCATTCTGTTAAATTGTTCCAAACGGTGTTACTTTTTCTATAATAAATTACCTTATTTCCCTTCTTTTAAAAATATTAAAAAATATTTTTGAATTGGACGACAGGTTTGAAAGAAACAAATAATGTTAGGAATAGTATTTTTGGATTTATTTTTTAAAAATATTAAAAAATGTTTTAAAAAAATTTATTTTTTTATTTTAAATATATAATTTTTATTTAAATATTTTATTTTATTTTGTTAGCACGGTTGTAAGTTAAAAGTTGATAATCAAAAAGTAAAAACCAAAAACGTTTTTTTCTCAACTTCTAAATTGTCACACCCTAAAATTTAGACAATTAAATATTAAAGTAAGACTAAACCCCAATTAATATTCCATCATCTAAATCTTAGGGGTGAAACAAAAAAAACTAAAAGCCAACTAAACCAGTCACCATAATTTTATAACTAACCAATACCTCCAACATTAAAGTAACAATACATAGTCAAAATAACTTAAATAATGTACGGTTACAAACCATGCCAAATTATCTCAATACTAAAGTCCTAAAAAAAAAAAATAAATACATAACTAATATTAACTCTAAGCTCAAGAAAATAAAAGAAGTCCAAACGACAAGTCCAACAATTATAATAATTTCATGTCACCACTGTAGCCCCAACTAATCCTGCAAAGGAAGCTCGACTGCGCTCAAACAAAACGCACTTGAGTTGCCAAGAGACAAAACGGATCAGTATACAAGTATACTGGTATGAGTACAAGATTTAACTCCCACGTGTCCACCCGACACAAACAAAAATACATTTAATTCTTGTTACGAGACAAAACAAGTAGTTCCAACCGCATTGAGACGAATTGGTAGTTTCCCGAGATACGGTGACATTTAGTTTCTTGCCTATACAAAACGAAATATAAATTGAGTATAAAATAAAAAATAAAAATAAAAATATGGTGGGTCAACCCTACATAAAAAAAAGTTAGTAAGATCCACCATCCTGCAAA